ATCATCAACAGCCAGCCAGCCTACTCCCGTGCAAAAACCTCTTCTCAAACCAAGAAGGTATGATCGTATGATCAACACGCTCGGTCTAGACGAAATGGGGAATTGACCTGTGAAATTACTTTATTCCAGTACGCAAAGTTTTATCCAATAGTCTCAGTGATGCCATAAAACTATGCTGATATTTTTTTACTTGATGTTTGCTTCAGTTGATAGTTTCGAAAGCTAAAACTGGTATGTAAATTTTGGATAAGTTAACGACATATTATTGAATTTTTATTCTTATGTTGTAAAGAAAAATTATTTTTTCTTTTGCATGCCGGAAGGTAGAATGTGTTGGAAATCCTATATAATAACATCTTATTTTATACCCATGTTCTTTGATTTGATTTGATTTAATTAAGTAGATAGAAACGTGATTAGCTACTGTTTTTGAAATTCTTAGTTCTTCCCGGACCTTGAATTGTGTCCAATATGTGAAGACATATTCTCTTGCATGAGCCTCGTACATGACTGTTGAAAACTAGGCTACAATTGGCACCCTGTTTTTGAGGGGGGCAAAATCATCCTATGACTTCTCCCATTGCACTCCTGCTATGGAGTAGAATTCAGAAGGGTTATCTGTTATTTTGTATTTACTACCCTATGTATGTTATTCTTATTTCTCTAGTTTTTTGTTTTTTAATAGCACGTTTGCAAAAGACCCCGCGCATCATCTGATGACACGCAGTGGACGAAGGAGCTACGAGTTGCGTTGAAATGTCTTAGGAGTTTAACCCACCTAGTCCGGTAGTTTAGTACCCTTCCCGATAAACACGGTTCTTCCATACTTAAAACTATCACAAAAGTAGTTGAATGTCGTCAAAACTGAAAATTGTATTTTTATTTTTCCTTAAATATATTTTTACTAAGAAACTCATCATCGCAAATGTTCAGAATATAATACATAGAAGTGATATTTCATGAAATTCCTACAATCGTTTAAAAGCAATGACATACACTATATTTACCATACTGATATTTTTTTGTCATAGATCAAAAATATTACAGGAAGTAATCCGATTGTCATTTGATCCATGGCTGATTAGACAATTTTGTCATTAGACGTGAAACGAAATAGATATGTACTTTAATGACTGTAATTATGCGCATTTTGAATATGATGATCATTATAATCCGCAAGCTTTTGGTTAATTATTTTTTATATTTTTTATAATGCTACTATAAATATTAGGTATAAGTATGGGAGAGCCATGCTTTAGCACGAATGGGTCGACTCCAGCGGAGTGAAACCACAGCCTGACAGAAACCCGACGTGAAACAACCACAGCGTTGTGTTTTGCCGTGTAGGTGAGGTAACCGGAGGCCAAATCTCTCCCCCTCAACTCACCCTTTTCCAATACTTAAATATCCAAAACTCTTATCCCCAAAAGGCCAGCACTTGTAACTTCTTTGGTGCTGTAGGTCTCCATGGGGGGTGTCAATTGTTTACAATGAGTAACTTCTGCTCGTTTGCCGATCTATGCCATAAAAAATATAAAAATAAAAATAATTTGTAATCATCCGTTTGAAATTGCCAACCTTGACGCAGCGCAGTAGCTAATGGTCATTCATTCCCCCTCTGAAAGGGTCTATCTCAGCATTGGGGCAGTTAGTTACACGATAAAAATAACCTAGCAACTACAGCAAAAAAATCTGTTCGAAATTAAATTTTAATCTTCACTATAAATTACCAGGTTATATTTCTATTATCAATAAGCAGCGTCTTAAGTCTCGCTTCGCTAGAAATAAGGTAGGGCTCAAGTGACAGCGAGAAATTAAGGGCTACAAACTACATTTATGAATTTGAAAATATCGTTCTAATTTTAAATAATTCTGGTAGAAAAAAGACAAACTCCAACAATACCAAACCCGGCTGTATAATCTGCAGACGCTGAGCTGAGAAAGAACAAGATGGTTCAGTAAAAGTCTGATAGCTCCTCTTGCTCTGCGGTGGGAGAAGTCATTAAATTGACTCAATGAGCAATGTTTCACGAGTTCCATGTAAAACTTAGAGGTAGAAAGAAGCACAGAGGTTTTCCCACATAACAGATATAATTCCAGAATCCGTGTAAGGGCAGAGAATTTTTTCAAAAAAACCGAAACTTGTTCGGTACTTACACTTGCAACCAATTACGAGGCAATCATTATATTATTATTTAAAAATTACATTGCTCGCTAACACTGTAACCCCGCCACTTACTTTTGATTGAAAGCCACTCCAACGCTAAAAGTAAATCTAATAATAAATCTGGATTGGTAGCGACCTCTATAGGCTATTTCTTTATTTCCAAAGCTAACAAGGAAAATCTTAAGGCTTCATAGTCTCGTTTACTAGGTTCGAAGAAAGCCAATCTTAAAATATTTCTTACTTTTGTAATCATATTTTTGGTCGTTTTCCGAGGAAATTTTAACTCAATAATAGATTGGATCAAGTACCAGAGCTATTCACGTGGCCCTTGATCTACGAGATCAAAAGTTTCAACTTTTTTTGTAAGACAAGTAAGAAGTCCCTAATTCGGAGTCGCTAAATCAAAAAGATAAGTTTGTATTTATAGAATAGATTGGCAAACGAGTAGGCGGATCGACTGATGGTAAGCAACCTGCGCAACACCAAAAGGAGTAGCGACTCCTTTGCTGGCCTTTTTTAGTTTAGGAGACGGATGATGGAGAAATAGGTAGGTCAAATAAAAAAAACCAATCCAAATCGACCAAATTCCAAATACAAATAGGTAATTAATAAATTTATTTATTTTTCAAATTTCGAATTTCGTCGCCATTATCAAAATTGGTTTCTTTGTTTAAGTACTTTTCTCTAACAGGGATATTAGGCAACATACAATCACCAATATGTCAGTCTTATGAATACCAATACAAATAAAATTATTCGCAGCTTTCCAATACAAATAAATACTATAGCGACTTCATTGTTACTCTTAAAATAACCGAAACCTAGAACAGTATGTAAGTAATAGAATTTCTATGCATATTCTTGAATAGTAACAATTATGAGACACACATAAATTACTGAAAAAACGACTTACTCGCGAGGATTAACTGAGAAAAACTCTACTAGTTTCACAACGGGACTTATTCATGAGCATCAGCCGAATCAGTCAACTTGTTTTTTTCTGTATCGGTTTGGAAAATCCTCATGGAGACCCATCGCCCTCGGGGAAGGGCGAAGGGTACTGTCAGACTCTTACTGACAAAAAACCAACCCGGTGTTCCTCTCTCACTTACCTGTGTCGGAGGGGCGGGTATCGCCGAAGCATTCGTCGCAACCCCCCGACGGGTATTGGCCCCGTCACCCACTGCGGCCGTCACCCTGACCGCAGGACTCAACTATGAGGCGCGTGCAGAACACGGCGCCGCCGCCTCGAGGCCTGCTGCTGGTCGAACGACAAGATGCCCCGAGTATGTCGTCCGCAGGCCGCGCCCTACGATGGCCGCAGGTCGGCAGTCGACTTTTTTTGTTTGTCCATAGATACGTTCTCTTACGTATTATGTATTTATTATAATTATGTATTTATGATTTAGGACGCTAATAAATATAACAAAAGAAATAAACGTTTTTATAACAATCGTATCGTAAACATTATCGTTAACGATAAAAATATAGCCTTTCCTCGTATTATTGTACTCATTAAAATAATATTAGGGTATTTAGAGACAAGGATATATATAGAAGAACGTTAGGTAATAGATACTTACACTATTATACCATACAGAATGATACTTTTTTACTATTCAAATTATGAAATATTAGGATATGGCTGGCTTATTAACTCCTATAGTCTTCCAGACTTCGTCTGTCAGGTTCATGTGACTCCACGTCATGGTCTCATAGAAAACCAGTACTAAACAACGCTGCGTAAGATTTTGCTTTGTGACTCAGGAGGCGTATGTAGCCTCCGATTCAGTCTTCCCCAAACCCCTTATCCTCAAATTCTAACACTGGTTAGGTTAGGTTGGTTGCTTGGGGTAAGGGTCTTGTAATTCCTTAGTCATTTGTATATCATTGTGCGTGTCGTTTGCCACTACATCTCTGTCATTACGTAGTCATCTTATATCCTTAACCTGTAAAATTAAAACGTATGTGTACCTCTTAATTAAATTCCTCTTTATCATCATAGTATCAGCCACACAAGGTTCACTGTGCAATATGCGAGATCCCCAATAATTTCTGAATTGTCTAATCGTGTTGTAACTACTTTTTGTCAAAAGAAAATTCATACAATGAAGACGTAAGTAACATCTTAATCTGAAAAAAATGTTCAAGCGGAAAATGCAAATCTCCATCGTTACTAAGTTGTAAATCAAATTGTTTTATTGATCAAACCCTGCACATCACAAACGCTATTTCGTCAATGAATTATACTGTTGTGTATAATATGCACCTACATTACAAACGGCAGATTAATTAATCACAAAACAAAGTATTTTAGCTACACTATTTCATGAACATTGACCTTTAAACGGGGTGCGGGTTCGAAACCTGGCAAGTACCAATGTGACTTTTTCCGAGTTATATGTACTTTCTATGATTATTTAGACACCACTGACATACGGTGAAGGTAAACATCGTGAGGAAACCTGGACTTATAATTTCTAATTATAAGTTTGAAATCGCCAACCCGCATTGAGCAAGCGTGGTGATTAATGCTCTAACCTTCTCCGTGTGAGAAGAGGCCTTTGCTCAGCAGTGGGCACTTATAGGCTGATGATGAGTGAGTGACCTTTAAACATCATCATCATTCACCCAAAATCCAAAACACGAGGAACAAGGAAAGATATTAGATATAACAATTAGATAAAGCACAACACTATTTGTTAAAATATCCGAAATGAGTCGGAATTATCCGATTAATATCCGTGACATGTACAACACTAATAACTTTAATATGTAGTTGTGTGTGTTTGCAATTATGTGTGACAATCGCGTGTAGTATGGTTTATTGTTCAGTAGTTATCCATACATAGTTGTGTTTGGTCCTTTTATTACAAAAATTGTGGTCCTTTCGTAAGGTGTTGTGATTGTGTGTAAAAAAAGTATTTTAATATTAATATTTTTTTAAATACAAAATTTTAACAAATCAATTAAAAATATGAAAAAAAAATATGAAATAAAAAAATATTGTTTGTATTAAAAACGAAAAACTTATAGTAAAACATACAACAAGTCTTAATAAAGTCATAAAATAGTTTTAATATTAAAAACTAATAGTCGTAATATTAATAACTAAACACTTATACTTAACAAATATACAACAAGTCTTATAGTAACACAAAATAATCATAAATATTTATACAATTTGCAAATCATGATTACCATGAGATCTTAAGAACAGCTGTTTAAACGAGTAACCATAAAAAAGACAATAGACTATTCCGTAAACCTGTCGCAAATGAAACGATAGTGAATCTAGATGATATGCAATAACATCTTCCTGGTGTACATTTTTTTCAAGGAAAAATACATACTAAAATATACAGACATATTAAAATCCAAACAATTCTGTGGACAGATTTTATTTGTCATTTTAGTACCTTCAAAACACGCCTATTTTTTTGGGGCGAAAGAATATGTAGGAAGACTAGGTGTGGGTCTCTACGTCACTATAACCTTCCCGGTGGCCACTTCCAGCACCTGTGAAGGACACCGGGACCTCGTATAGACCTGCTTCAGACCCCTCATGGTACAACGCTACAACGCCACATCGCTAGGGAAACTAGTGAGTAACGAGATGAATATTTGCCTATGTATCATGTTAAATGTTAAATAAATTATTTATAAATTTATATATCACATATAAATTTATATACAAAACTATCGTAGCTCAGGTGAGGTAGTTCCAAAAAATGCAGCAAGATTTTTTTAAATATCGTTACATTTTTTTCAAAAAATAAATGTAATTATTATTACTATTAAAACGTTTAACAACCCATCGCAAAACTAAAATACAATCTACAAATCTAGACGTTTAAAAAATCAAACATTTACTAAAAGAAGCCTCGTACAATTACTACTATTTAACAGATAAGAACAAAAAAATGTTTGTCAGTTAAAACAATGCAAATTACATTGAAGATCTTTTTGCAACTGACGACATTTAAATACATATAATTAGTTTACTTAATTAAATAATACTTCCTCTATATTAAAGAATTCCCACAATTGTCAAGCTACCAATTCATACATAGCAAACTGTTACTATATAACAAAACTGTAGTAAGACGGTACAGGCGATTTTGTTCCGAAACCAATTGACTTGGGTTTTTTAGAAGGGAAACTCATCCAATGACGTCTCCCGCTCCAGGTGGTGTTAGAGGGAGTGCTTACTGACTAAAAAACTAAAAACCACCCCGTTATATCTCCTGCTGTCGGTCAGGACAAGAGCCAATAGACCACTTGGCTGAACATCAGCACGGTTAGAGAGCTGATGTTCAGCCGGCGTTGCGGTGTAAGCGCAATGAGTCACCGCTGCTACGGATTCGAGAAGGTAACGGGGTGGTTTTTGTTCAGTAAAACTCTGACAGTCCTTCTTGCCCCACTCAGGGCGAGATATGTTTTTAACCCCCAAAAGAAAGCCGTTAACCTCGGCTAGCCCACTTGGCCATATCAGTGGTGGTCTATTGGCACTTTGAGGGTCTGGTTCTATGTAGTTGGGCGTTGACCTACTCTTGCTCGCCGTCCGTAGACCCGTGCTTACGGTAGCCGGAAGTCTTCGTTCGATCCCCAATGCCCGGAAATCGCCAACTGAGGCAGCTGGGGCATGGAGATGATAGTTGCCTCACGCCAATTCCATCTTTGCGAGCATCACTGCTTCGCAGAAGGTAGAGACGGCTTCCCAGTTCCTCTCACTCCGCAACATGGCCTCGACTAAGACTGGACGCGAGAGGTTGCCGCCGCCGATCACTTCCCTGAGGACACAGCGGTGCTTAGCCCAGGTTAGGTTCCACCGTGTCCTGTAATTCTCCTCACAATGATGATCACTTTTTTCTCCTTGTTCCCATCTGCCAGATTCGAAGCAGGTATCTACCGAATCTTCTGTGTTCGGTAAGCACCTGCATACGGCAGATAGTGAGGACATGATTGTCTCAAATCTTTGCTGCTAGGCTTGTAAAGTATGTTGTTAATCTTAGGCATTAACGTTTCTATGAATGAAACTTAATTCTAATTGGAATTTTATCCATTTTGAACTCTCTTTACTTATTCAAAAAAGGTAATGGGAATGATATGGGAAATTCGTAATTAAGGAAGGTTTAAAGTGAGATTAAGAATAATTTTAAATTAAATATTAAATATAACAACAAACACTTACAAAGATTCACCTTCGATAATTCAAGATGTCTGCAAATACTTCAACTTTTTCTTAGATCAGGAAATCAATCAGAATAATCTAAAATAAAAACAAGGAAAAAACGAAAACTAAACTCTTAGAAACAAACGCTCAAGGTTTTTGACCTTATATTTATGACAGTAATATTTTAATAAATATGATTTATTATTAAATTTTATTTTATTAAAATACTCAAGTTCTTGCATAGAACATGTTTTCCAACAAAACAAAAGCAAATCTACTCAAAACAGCCCCAATGAATTTTTAATGAGAACATGTGAAATTAATTTTTGATTAACCATTGTTACAAAAATTAAAACCAAAAAACACATGAATAGGTTGTTCTCTAAAAAACAAAAAAAATAATGAATTCAAGGTCGACTACACAAATCAACAATAATTTAACGCAGTCCTTTGCGTGTTACTAACTTTAATAAAAAAAACCAAAGGATCCAAGAACCTCATTAATTTAAAGTTAGAATTATAAAAAAGATGTCTAGAGCGATCTGAGTTGTAGCAAATCTATAGCTCCGTTAAATAACTAAAAACTTGTTTTCTTACAAGATATTATTTAAAAAAAAAACTCGTCACAAGGAAAACAGCGCGCGAATAAATCCTTTGACAATAATAGTTTTAGTTGTGGAGTCGACGGACATGTCGCTGGAGCTTAATAACTAAAATAAAAACAAAAAAAAACAGTTGAAATAAAAAGTGTTTAAAATTAGAAGGACCAAAGAAGTGAACAAAATGTTGGGCAAACATTCCAAGTTAATTTTCGCTGTGTCCATGGGATTCTTAGTGGTAGCTGTTATAATGGCGGCGTGGGGTTTTCAGAAAATTGTTGACAAACAAATACAGAGTGTAAGTTTTCTTTTATATTCTTACTAACATGGTGAAGGAGAAAACAGTCATAAGAAATAATATTTTTTTTTTTAGAATAACTCACACTTAATTTTAAGACATACGCCATAGAGCACAGTTACTAAAATTGTCTCACAACTCTGCCCAAAAACCGCCATCTGATCACAAACACTGCACTATTTTAACACAAACATTTAAGCGATATGAATTATAAAAAGATTTAATGGAAATTATTAATTAAGAAAAACACTATCGTTACCGCGATAGTTTAATTTCGAAATACCATTCAATGAATTTTTATCGTAGGTAACTGTTAGTACGCTTAAACCGATGATTATTCCCCAGTAATACAGCGATTGCGACATTCCATATTTTATTGATCAGTTTTGAAATGAGAATTATGATAGCTATAAAACCTTTTTTTACTAGAAAAAATATAGATGGTTAGTTTTAATATTTCTCTATTAGTTTTCAAGTCTGCACTAAATTCTAACCAATTTCGACAATATTTTAGAATTGTACATAAAATTTATTTACAATCTATCAAAATTTATACGACCTGTAGTTACTATGTAGTATTATTAAGTGTAAAGGTGTGTTTGTTTGTTTGTATTAAATAGAAAAATAATTGAGAACTCTTTTTAAGAAGTACGTAATATTTAATAGGGTTGAATAAAGGAAAAAATCTTCAGCAGTCTATGAGTAGATACTTATAATACTAAAGGGCTGATTTTTCAATACTCAGATAAATAAATGTTATATGAGGAATAAAGTTGTTGATGTCACTGTCTTATACAAACATTCTAAAAAACTTGATAATTATTCCGCAGATAACTTTTATCTAACCATTGAAAAATCAGCCCTCAGCAAAAGTGTGAAATAATGTTTCGTCGACGGTCTTTGCAAACCAATACGTACTACATCAAACCGACGAGGAAAGACCGTTCTTCTTAAAAGACCGACAAAGTATTAGTCTCCTCTAAATTTATGTGTCAATGAGTTCGTTCGTTTATCGTCGACATCGTGGTAATAATAAATACTAATAAAAATAACCACATTTAGGTTTTAAACAACCATTATAAAGTGGCTGTTGAATGTTTTATTCTTGTCACATAAATAAATTCATCGGTAAAGACTTGTTGACAGCCCTAAATTTAATTTCGAACGAACGACATTCCGAATTCGTACCTATTAAACTCAATCATAAACATCGAATAGTTGAATCAAAAAACTATTTTTATTTTCATCGCAGTGTATCGGTGATCAACCTATTTTTTTTGCCGCGGATAGGTTAAAGACCTTTACCAAATACTAAATTATAAAAAGAAATAAACTGGCTGGAGTGTATCTTAATGATTTAGTTAATATATCTATTAATATTTCAAACTTTACCGTAACTTGTGACGTACTGCCTGATAGACGACCAATCGTGGAATGCAAAAGTGTGGTATAGGTTCTCGGAAGAACGTTTTTAATTATTATTTTGAACATTACCCCATACTAAGCTTATCTCCTGTGTCGTGGGTGTATTTACAAACATACAATTTCACATTTTGTGGATCATACAAAAAGTTTTTTGGTGGTGGTGAAATCAACTTAGCGCGGCAGCCTAGACACCGCGCCAACCGTGCAGTCACAGTCATAGCCATGTGTTCAAAATGTTTATGAATAAACTATTCGTATTTGTTCTTAACATTATACATCACATGTATGTGACATGCACATAAATGAGGAGAATAGTTCCCTGAGTGAGAAGAGGCCTTAGCTCAGCAGTTGGGACTTATAGACTGGCGATGTGATTGATATCTAAATACTTCACGTTCGCCATATTTTATTTTATCATCCACACACTGCCCCCAATTTTCATAATTATGGACCATCGTATTATGTATAATAATAATAATAATCGCTATTTTTGTATTATTATCATGTTCCTGCTCTTGTCACAATTATTTTGAGATCAGTATAACATTAATTATTGCCCTTTTTTAATTGTATTCTAAAAACATTTAAAGTTCAAATCTTAATGTAGTTAGATATCTATTGGCTGCAAAAGTATCATTAGATCATAATACAGTTAAATGTAGGAGAGAGGTGCTTCGGCGCGAATGGGTCAGCTCGACCGGACTGATACCACGACCTCACAGAAAACCGGCGTGAAACAACCACAGCGTTGTATTTCGCCGTATGAGTGAAGTTACTGGAGGACCAATCCCAGTTCCTATATTAAAGTTTCATCACACTATTATTGTATGTGTGTTTAAGAAACGACAATAACACTGTTGTATTTCTTTTACAACTATTCAGGACGCAAGTTAACAAACATTAGATTTGCATTAATAAATTTAAACTTTATTCCAAAATGATAAAGTCAAAAACATGGTAAAGATATTTGACAGATTTGAGTACTTTGTTATGCTATTTATACAACTGTTGCCATATTTAATGTGTAACGTTTTGTAATATTATTACATATAAGAAAAACTAAAGTGACCTAAATAAAAAGCAACGAGTGAGCCTTGGCAGACGCCATAGATAAATAGAAAGAAAGAGAAAGAAAGAAAGAGAAAGAAAGAAAGGAAAGTATGAATGTTGTTGGTATGTTCAGTGCCAAAAAAATATTTTTATTTGGCACTGAACATCAAGCATATTCTAACTCTTTCAAATGTGCGCGGAACGCTCGGGTCTAGTTCTAGTCGGGCGTCGAGCGCCGTCCAAAGACCTGCGATGGCCTGAGATCTACCTGCTATTTGCTAATTTGCCGTTCTCTGTCATGAAAAATCATGTCCTCCAGCTAGAAGATCTGTAGTACCTGTAGGGACCAGATGATTTAATGCTATAAATGCGAAGAGACTACGCTCATATACTGGATATTAGTCCCAAAACAAATAGCAAGAACACGCTAAAACCGGTATTTGACGTACCCATGGTAGGCGCTGAAGTTTTTTACTGGATCTACATAATTTATGTAATAAATCCTCTATAATTGCAAGTCCATCGGTCATCATTGAGTGCAAAGGTTTCTTTACATCCTTATTTACAAACTTTACCTTGAGTTCAGTTCGTTGTTCTTGTACTGTGATGACAGAGTAAGTTATTGTATGTCTCTCAGATTCACATTGCGATTAGAAAATTTACAAACATTGTTTTTTTGTGAGGAAAAATAGTGAGGAAAGAATCATCAAATGTTTCTCCCGCCTAGGGCAGACAGGGAGTGTCAGACTCTTACTGACTAAAAACCTCATTGCTCTTGCCCTGTAGCCCCGGGTCAACATTAGCCCCATAGGGCCCCGTCCGTGGTGGTCTATTGGCTCATTCTGGCGGAACGCTATGCGCCATACGCTCGGTTCTGTTTGTGGTCGGGCGGCGAGCTACCCGTCCACAGACCCGCTCTTACGGTGGCCGGAGATAATCTCTCGTACATACATGGTTAATTAAGTACCGTTTTTCTTGAAGGGAAATCATCCAATGGCTTCAACCGCCCTAGATGAAGAGAGGATACTTTACCATTTAGTGGTAGTTCTGGGAGCAAACGCAATAATGATCCACGGCTACAGCCGAAGAATGAGAAAGTTGTGAGTAAGATTCTGACCCCCGCTCTCACTACACCTAGAAGTCTTCGAATAATTTTCCCCCATCCATAAAAAAAGCGAATAAAGATGACAAAATTTCTTCACATCTCATCTCACTAAAAATCTCACATAGACATGAGAAAACAAGTGGAATAAAAACGATACAACCTCAATCAATTTTGTATTGGGTATAAAGATTGAGAGGTAACTTCACACGGTATGACGCTGTCACTGGACAGCCTTGAACGAGAAACATCTAACGAGAGCTTTAGGTCACGTTCAAATGTGTACCTACAAAATATAACAATAAGTCATATATTTATTCTGTAAATTGAAGACATTGTGTTCTATATTTTCGTATGTAGGTACTATATTTATTTACTTTTCTTTTACAATATCAACTGGTAACTTGACTTAGTCAAAAATATATTATTAAGACTTTTTAGTGCAAAAATTTAAAAACATGAATCACACTCTTATATTAACTTACACAATTGGAACACATTCGAATTTCGAATTCGAACTTACTTATTCGTATTTTTTTAGCTCATAAAAAGTATGTCAACTCCTTACATGTCCTTAGAGTTGTAATTTTTTCAAAGTTCGAATTCGATATTAAAATTGAACTTGTCTAGTTGTCAGATAGCCAATGGCAAGGAAATTTACCAGAATACCTACAACATTTTTCTCTACCCCTTTCTACAATAACCTATTAGAAGGGACTAAGAAACTTCTTCTTTGTGGCACTGTTGGCGTTCACATTGATCATATCAATTTGAACACATCTTTACTAACTGTCAAAGAAGGTTGTAATACAGCCTTACGAAACGTTACGTTTATTATCCTCAAACACTTTAACAATAAAGTGTTTACCATTACTACGGAGTACGTACTTGCTTCTGACCAAAAATCTAACATTTTATTTATATGCTTTTTATTAGAACTCCGTTTTTAGTATTATGTGCACAAATCAAAGAGTGAAATGAAATGAAATGAAATGAAATGAAATGAAATGAAATCGTTTATTCGTAAACATAGGTTATATAAAGTTGTTTGAATGATTGACATACAGTGCAATACAGCGAGACCGTCTATGTTTTGCCTTGAAGCATACAAATTTATAAGTAGAATTAAGTATATAAATTGAGGTAATAAGAATACATTCAGTCATTTAAGTATCTACACAGGAACAAACGTTTCATAATGGAAGTTTAACCACTGAACCATCACCATCAGTCACATCATGAGCTTTAATCCCTAATGCAGAATGTCAAAGATTTGGTTAAATAATATAATAATAATATGGAATGTCATGATAAGCACAAAATTACAAACAATATCTAATGTTAGTATATATCAAAAATTAAATGGTCAAATTCAAGGATGAAAATAGAATAAAAATAAAGAATGTCATAGGTAAATCCATAG